ATCCAGACCCCAACAACCAAATAGGTCCTTTTGTATAAACCTCGCAACAGGGTATTTAGACCACTGCCCATATGGGGTTTCCGAAAATAGGGAACCCTAAAATAGCACCCCAAATAGTAGGATCCTTATTATAAGGACCCCAAAATAAGGTACCCCTAATTTTCGGAAACTCCCATATAGCAGGGATCCCAAGAAACCTCCACACAACCTGGAAAATCGAATAAACGATTGCAAAACTCGATGAGAGCCCGCAGCAGGTCCCCACCTTGTGTATGGGACCTAACCCTTGGAGTTTGCGTAAGGGGTGTACAATACGATCCTATATGTCAGGCCTCTGGGAGGCACTATTGTTAATTCACATCAAACGCGCGTAACCTAAACCCCCTACACCTATATGCGGCAAACTGTAACATCTTAATATGAGCATTGGCCCCTTCCTAAACCCTAAACCCTAAACCCGACTTTTTCAAGGAACACCCAGAGATCCTACTCGAGCCGAGCGCTGAGAAGCAGCGGCTCCCGTCCCACTCCTGCCAGAAACCTCGGCTTTGCACTTCTGGGCTTTGGAGGCATGGGATAAGTGTAGGTGAAGTTTTGGGGTTTAGGGTTTCGGGGGAGGATATGGCTATTACGATGAATTTCACGCTTGGGGTTTACGGTTTTGCTTGGGCGTTGAAGTTTAGGGCGTGGGGATTCGGATTTAGGGTGTACCTTAACCCACCAGAACCTACTTTTCTGTAGAGTCCCTATAAATCCCATATTAAGGTTTACAATAATAGTAATAACCTACAAAAAAGTTGGTTTTGGTAGGTTAAGGTAGACGAAGGTAAGGCTTGGGGCTTTCTGGAGATCGGACCCTTGGACGCTCGCGACTCGGACAGCGCAGGCGAGGTTGGTTCGGAGAGCTTCAGCTGTCAGGGTTTAGGGATGTAAGTTCCTCAACCGTAAGCCCTAAACCCTAAAAACCCCAAAACTCAAAACCCTAAACCCTAAAACCCTAAATTTAAAGCCCTAAACCCTAAAACCCTAAACTTAAAATCCTAAACCCTAAAATTTGAAGCCCTAAGCCCTATAACCCTAACATTTAAAGCCCTAAACCCTATAACCCTGAAGTTTAAAGCCCAAAGCCCTAGGCCCTAAGCCCCATGTCAGGGCTTTAGGGTCTGAGGCTCAGGTTTGGCGTCTTCGGTTGCTTTTGGGAGCTAGGATTAGGGGGACATTTGGGGATATACAGAACCTCTCAATAAGGTCCCCTTCAAGAGAGTCAAAAGTAGGGTTCAGAAGGGGTACCCTTTAAGGGGTACCCCTAATAATACTAGCTAGCTTTGTGGTTGAGCTCAGGCAGAGGAGCAGACGTGCACCATCCTCCTGTCGCACTTCGCAAAGCGCTCGCCCCTGATGGCCATATATGTAGGGTGTAGGGTTTAGGGTTCAGGGTTTAGGGTTTAGGGTTCAGGATTTAGGTCGGTTTAGGGTGGCTGAGGGTTTTGGGTTCTCGATGGTTTCGGGTTTACGCTCTCGCAACTCGGACAAGCCAGGCCTTTCTTGGTTGCAGGTCGGCTAGGGTTCAGGGCTCCCTTTAGAAGCCCGTCCTAGAGTTTAGGGTTCAGGGTTTAGGGTTTTGGGTACCTGGCTTAGAGTTTAGGGTTTAGGGGTTAGGGTCCTCTTTAAGGTTCCATGCTACAGGGTTCCATGAGGCTTCAATCTAATGGTTCTGCGGAAGATTTGGGTGAGGGTCCACTTCAGCGTTCAGGGTATAGGACCCACTTCAGGCTTCCATAAAGATCTTTGGGCCCATTCTTGCTTGCGGTCTTCCCTTGTTGCCCTAAACCCTAAACCCTAAACCCTAAACCCTACACTCCGTCTGATGAACACACCGGGTTCTCTGAAACCGCCAGTTCGAGTTCAGGCTTGAGCCGCAGAACACCACGGCCTTCGTGAAGAAACCGTCAATCTTGAGCAGAGGGTTTAGGGTTTAATGTAGGGGCGTTAAATGATTAGAATAGGGTTCTGGGGG